AATGTCGAGGGGAGGGGCTGACGCCAACGGAGCGGGGCTGACGTCCACGGGGCGGAGTTGACGGGCGTAAGTGGCGTCGTGGTTGATCCCGCCTGTGGGGCCGGAGGGTTCTTGGCTTCTCTGGGACCGTTTGGTGTGTTTTCAGACTATTCAACCCTTTCTTTTCCATGTCTTTTCTGAATATTGACCTACTGTGTTGTAGAAGTCCAGGGAGAGATTGACATCAGAGGGCTTGTTAGCCAAAAAACAGCGCCAGGGGTTGCACGTGCCAGAAGGAACTTGTCGAAACTCAGATCATGTTTCCCTTTAAATAGAGTCAGCTTAAATATGATGTAATCTTTAAAAAGCTTAGTCTCTGGGGTCAAGGTTGAGCTCAAAGGTCAGCACTGCCACTTTATGGCTCTAGGACCACAGGCAAATACATAATCTCCCTGAGCTTCTGTTTTCTTAACTTGTAAAGGGGGGTTGTGGGGGGGGGTGAGAATAAATGAACTGATGCATGGCAAGTGTCTGGAACAGGGGTTGATACAAAGTAAACACTCAATATCCTGTTATCAGTATAAAACCTGCCCTGTCACATGAAATCTTAATGTAGAAACCTTCATATGAACAAATCAAAGCATAGCTGCTCTGCTTCAAGTTGGGCCCAGAAGCTTTGGGTTCTCAGTCCCAAGTGTGGTCTTCACTTTTCCACTATGGAATCCCCTAGCTTCCTAAAACATAGAGGAAAAGAACTGTTATCGGAGAAAGTCCAAATGTCTTAGAAAGACAAACTGAACTTTCTTATTTTTTTTCTCCTGATACTCCAAAGAACTTTCTCTCCTCCACATACTGTATTCCTTTTTGTCTCCATGTTTTTTCTAAAGTCATTCTGTCTCATCTCCTTATTTATCATTTAAGATCTGTTTCAAATTGCAACTCTTTCTTGGGTGACTAAGAAATTTTTTTATTGTAACCTTCTCCCAACTTCAGCGTGGTGTAGACATCTCAGCAAGGATTGAAAGTCATTTTCTCCCTTATTTTAGGAGAGTGGACAAAGTCCTGTATGATTAAGAAATGATTAGTCCTTTAGGGTTAAGGAAATGCTTTTTTCTCATGGTAGGTAAGGAAAAAGCAAGTAGATCCCCAAGGAGACCGGGAGGAAGAACAGGTAGCGCTGAGAAGAAGGACCTTTGAAAGGAGTCTGACGGCCTCCAGGAGACTGCTCTGTGCCCCGGATACAATGGACTGAGGGAGGTCAAGGGCTTTAGGGTATATTTAAGAAAGATGGATGACACATCAACAAATAGTTTTGGAATTACCACCAGGTCAGAAGGCTCAGGCCATTATTTAATTTGAGTTAGTCAACTAAAACATATGTTATTACTTGCTCCCAAAATGGCATGAAGCAATTCCCATCCGCTAAAGAGAACTATGTAGATTATTCATACAGAAATATAATGTTCTCCAAAAAACCCAACCGCCCCAGAAAACCAACAAAAAGAAATATAATGTTCTGAAACATTTCGAAAACAAAGTCCTTCACTTATTTAAAGACAATATAATGAAAATTTAATAATAATCACTTAAAAAACATCTAAAAAAGCCTTTTTTGGGTAGAAACAACAATAGTATGTTAAAATAATTAAATTGGTTATATTTGCAACAATGCCATTAAAAGTAAAACTTTTGAAGAACAAAGAGAACTTTATTCATGACAGCAGTTTCAACTAAGTTCAAAATGAAGGTAGTTTCAAAAATATCTTCTATATAAATGGTTCTGTACTTCTGAAAGCACTACAATAAAAATAGAAATTTTGTCAGTAATCTATCTGGTATGATTTAAGTGCCAGTTTGCTTTTCCAGTCTTACCTTTCACTAATTCGCTTTATCACCATTAAGTGTCAGTCACTTACCATACCCCAGGCTTTACTGTTTTCAAACTTGGCTAATATCCTGGCCATCTAACTAGCTGTTCCCTTCTTCACTTGCTCCCTCGTATCAACTCATCAATCCGAATCAGCTACTCTTCAAGGTCCAATTAAAGTATCACCTCCTTTAAGAAATTTTCCTCACTGAGAATAGTTTTGAATCATTCATTTGGGTTACAGCTATTTGTACACATCTTATTTCCTTGTAAGAGTCTTGAAGGCAAGTATCACGTCTTATTCCTATTTGTATTCCTCATGGAGTTAATACCCACTCGAAATTCAAGTTCCATCAAACAGAACCCTTGAATATCTTCTTAATCACATATATTCTCCTGCACCTAGCATAACTGGTACATGGTAGACAAGTTACAAGTGTATTTTGGGCAAGTAAATGAATGGATTTTAAAACATAAGCTCCATAAAGGCAGGGGTTTGTCTGTTTTATTCACTGCAAAATAAACATTTGAGTATTACCAGGTGAATAAATTATTTTGGGAAAGCTTTGCATTCATTATATACAACAAAAATTCTTCAATCTATATATCTTCACAGAAGTCAAATAAAAAGTATTTATGTTGCCTTTCACCCAAATAATTCAGTGGATGATATATCTTTCTGAAAACAAAACATTCCCCAGAACTGCAAGAGTAGAATTTAACACAATCAAAATAAAACGGGTGTTTACGTTAACAGTAGTTTCAGTTTTCTTTTTTGTTCTTTTCTGTGTTTTGAATTTTATGCAATGAAATGTATTATTTTGTGATCAGACAAAAATAATCAATACTGTTTTTAAAGAATGTAATGGATGAGATCATTTGCAAATGTATGACTGAGGACATTTTGAAAATACTCAAGTCTAATCAAGGTTATATGAAGTTAATACCAGAGAGAAAAGCACTGGAATGTGAAAAGAACTTAAAGAGCTGAAGCCTAATTAGTTTGCCTAAAAACAAAGAAAGAAGGAAACACACTTCTTAAAAGGGAGACAGATGGCACAAACTCTAGAAAAAAGAAGGTGTTGAAGAACATGAATTTAGTGTTTGTTTAGCCCTGTCCTTGGGAGTAGGACACCTCACCGTGGACTGAACTATGTGGTCTCCCTGCCAAATTCCTAAGCTGAGGCCATAGTCCCCCAGTGCCATGGTATTTGGAGATGGGGTCTGTGAGAGGTTCTTGGATTAGGTGAGGTCATGAGGGTGGAGCCCCCATGGTGGGATCAGTGACTGTAAGAAGAGACACCAAAGAGCTTGCACATTCTCTCCATCCCCATTTCTCTCCCCACCACGTGAGGAGAGAGCGAGAAGGCTATTGGCACGTCAGGAAAAGAGCCCTCACTGGAGCCGGATCATGCTGATACCCTCATGTTTGACTTCCAGCCTCCAGAACTGTGAGGAAAAAATTTTCTGTTGTTTATGCCACTTGGTCTATGGCATTTTGTTGTAGTTGCCCGAGCAGACTAAGATCTAAACTGTTTAATGGCAGCTACTTCTCCCATACTGGGAGAGAATGTCCTCTCACTGATTCAGTGAATGAATATTTACTAAATGCCTGCTGTATTCCATGCCCTGTGCACTGTGCTGAGGATCCCACCATAACAGATTTAACGCTCCACCCTTCAGGGGCTCATAGGAGACAAACATATAACCAAACTGAAAGAAGTACTATAAGAACTCTGACAGAAGCATGTATAGGGCACACCTTTCTTTCAGGCACCCAGAGGTTAGGGTAATGGTTTCTGTCTGTGGTTGGGGTGGGGTTAATTTAGTTGGTCTGAGTCAACACTCTCTATCAAGTTAACACACCAAGTCAAGGGCTGTGACTTGCAATGTGGTGACAAATCTTAGACCTCACGGTGAGCCCTGCAGAGACCACTACTGGACAGAGAGTTGCAGGGATGTGGTTGGTGGCCGCCCACCAAAGAGACGTAGGAAGGGGTTGCTGCGCGCTCTGTGGATGGTCTAGGCAATTGGCAGTGGCTTCCTGGGCCCTCTAACGGTTTCTGTACCCTGCGATTTTCCATTTCTAATTCTTTGGGGACTTAACTATTTATAACAACATTCTCCTTTACTTATACTAACTGTATGTTGTATTAGCTAGTAAGTATTCAAAGCCTATTACATGGAGAAAAGTGAACAGGGCACTCACTGCGGCACCCTTCAGCCTCATGTACCGTTTGCTGAGTCGTGTCCCAGCCGAGGTCCTACTTTCTCCGGAGGCTGTGCCTAAACTGCAGTTCCCCCTGGATTGGTGGGGGCTCCTGCCACGAGCCCCTGGCACCCCTGTGCTTATCACAGCACTTACACTATTTTGCAATCTCTTGTTCTTGAATTTTTTTTTCAATCTCTTGTTTAATGGTCTCTCTCCTCTAGCAGACTGTCTGATCCTTAAAGATGGGAACAATATTAATCTTCATGATGTGCCTGGGTCACCAAAGGCTTTCAGTAAGTATTTGTTGAATGAATCTACTTTCAGCAGAAGACCACATAAGCATGAAGCTTATGGTGCTACCCACAGGGGGCACCTAGCCAAGAAAGTTCATCCATCTGATCTTTGGTATAAATTAATCCAGTCCAAATGGAGAACATAAACACTAAGGGAATACAGTCCCATAGAATAACCAGAGTTGAGGTGACATAAAAATGAAGACCGTTATGGTTTCATATTATGTTAGCTTACATAAAAATAAAGCTAGTTTGGAATAGACGTGAAAGTCATGGTGGAAGGGGCTGGAAAGGTAGCCTAATGACAAGATGTTTATTTCAATATGACACGTTAGTCTAATAATAAAGGGTCTATGCACCCTACATACACTCTGTCAGAGCACCTATAACGCTTTTTACATTCCTATTAAATCAGACCCTTAGGGAGTTTAATGACTTATTTATTTAAACATGATTATTCTAACAACTAGGCAGGAGTTGACCTAGAGTAAAGGGAATTTTTGGGTGAAACACAAAAGCAGAGATGGTCTGCTTTTGACTAAGTGGGATAAAATGTGACTTCTGCAGATAAGCCTTTCTTCTTATCTTCTGTGCTGGCACGTCACAATGAAATTCCTGGCACAGAAGTCATTCTTTTGATTAAAGGTACTATCTTCATACAGCCCTTGTTAACCTGAAAGAATATGCTACTGAGTGATGGTAAAACCCAATAGAATGGCTCTCAAATCTGATCTTTCCACCTCCAGGGAGTGGGAATGCTTAGTGAGAGAGAACACTTCTCAGCCTCTTCACAGCTGGGCGTGGATGTCACGGATAGAATGTAAAAGGAGAGATGTGTCCAACTTTCACATCACTTCCTTAAAAATAAATTGGTTGCCTTGGACTTTCTTTTTTCCTTCATCCTGAGGACTAGAAAGGGGACATGGGAGAGATCCATCTTTAACCCACATCCTAAGCTGGGGCATGGCAGAGCCTTAAGACAGAAGGACACGGGTCTCTGAGTGAGTAGACCTCATGAGCAGAGTAACACTGCCATCATCAACTAGTCAGCTGGTTTCATAAGAAGGAAATAAATTTCTATATTTAAAGTATTTTATTTTTTGTTCTTCATTATAGCAGCTTACCTTACCCTGATTAATAGGATATTGATGAGGTTGGCATAGAATTGAAAATTAGCAATCTCTCACCTAGAGAACTGGGAGAGCCTGAAGACGTGGATCACAAGGAACAAATAAGGAAGGGCTGGATTAGGGCACTCCTTAGGTGCAGGCAAACTCAGATGGGCCACTGAAATGGGGGCTCTATGTAGCCAGCTACGGGGTAGGATAAGGTCTGACGTCTAGACCAGGTGCAAGAGGAAGAACCAATGAAGACAATCTGTGTACTTTAAAATTTGGGTGGGACCAATCAGTTACACTAATTCACAGAAAGATAGTTAAGTAGAAATGGAGAAGAGGCAGATTAGCAGGGAAGGGAGAAACGGATGAGGGAATGTATTATGATATTTAAAAACAAACAAGAAAAGAGGAGCCCGAAACAATTCGAGGCATGAGACGCTAGGTGACCATGAATCTTGAAACTGGGATGGGACTGCTGGGGAAGGGAAAGGGAAAGACTGTTCCCTGTGCCGTATGAAGCTCAGAGAATGAGATCTTAAATGTGAGTGACCGAAGGTGGCTTTATATACAAGGTATAAAAGATTGACATGAATATTAGTTTGAATAGGGAAATCAGAACTCTTTCTTTGGGCTCAAAAAGAAAGAATTAAAGCCATGATTAAGGCTGCACAGTGATCCAGAGCGTAGGGGAAGGAGTGAGATGGTAATAGCACGTTAGATTTCAGTATCCTGTTGGCTAGCAGGACAGGATACTGAAATCAAATTGCGGCAGTACATTAAAGTGTGTATGTCCCTACACAAGATATAATGATGAACGGGTGTTTGAACAAAGAAAAAGAAAGCAGAGATCAGGTTGGAGATGTAGAACACTACCCCCCCAACTCCATACAGAAAGGGTAATGACTAGAAAAGCTGTTCAAAAAAATAGCCACAATTTTGGGTCTATTACATTTTAAGCTTACACATTACATATTTCAATATCCATCTAGATAAAAGTAGCTTTGTGAGGATAATGTTCAGCATTCTCTCTTTTCACCTCTAAAATCGGGTGGACTTTATCTCATCTTCTTCGTCTTTATTGTGACGTTCAGCTTTCTGGAGAAGCCTGGGGCCTAGCAAACCAATAAGCAGACTTCCAATAGGGGCTGTGATGAGGATGGACAAAAATGCCACTGTCAACACATCCATTCCATATTCTTCTAACTGTTTGTCTCCATGTGCTCTTGCTGTGTCCAAAGCCACAGATCCTATTGCAGCCTATAAAAGTTTAAAGGTAAAATTGGAAGCATGATAAGACAAGCACATAGAAAAAAGGTGTTATTTTATCATTTGTAGAAACAAATGTCTTGTTCTTTTGCTCAACTAAGAAAGTTCTATTTGTCTTCTTTCCAACTGTACTAAGGTTGGTTTTGCTGATCTGAAAGCTCTCTCTGCCCTTGCATCAGGAAAGAATGATGATTCATATGTACCTGTTTGCAAAGGTGAAGTTGCAAAAATATCAGGCAAATATATTTCAAAACACAGGCAAATACTGATTTCAGATATTAGTTAACTATAACATGATTCTACATGCTAAATTCCTCCAGCGTAAAGATGAATGTTACCGGTCATCTCACTCTTTTCTCTTTAGGAATTTGGAATTATGAAAGAACAAGATGAAAAAAAATGCAATGATACTTACTGCAAGATGGTGAAGTTTTAAATGAAAAAACATGAGACTATCTTTTGCTTTAGAGCTTAAACTCATTGTTAAACATCCAGAAACTTGAAAGTGGTAGGTACCTTTAAAACTTGAAGTTAATCTTGTTAGATATTTGGTTAACTCTTTGCCTTAGGAGTTGGTGAAATGTTTTATTTAAAATTTATCTACTGGAAAGTGTTATAAAAACTTATTTTCTTTTAGAGACAAAATGCAAAATTATCAGTACACATGGGAAAAAATGTCAATCAATCTGGTTATCCCCTTATTCCACAGAATGCAACAAGGCTGGCCTCTAGGACACTGAAACAGAAGAGAAAGTATCAGTGTGGATGAGATGCAATGGCTGAGACTACTGATTGCCCACAAATATCTGAATGCCTGTTTTCCCTTCTTTAATAGAACTCCTGAGTTTTAGCTGGTCACACTGCTGTACAACTAGAGACCTTTTTTCAGCCTTCTTTGCAACTAGTTGAAGCTATGTATCTAAGTTCTGGCCACTGCGAGGTGAGTGAAAGTGAAAAATGCTACTTGTCATCATTCCCTGGAAAGAAATGGACACTACTACCTTATCCTTTTCCCCCTTCCCATTGGATGAGAAATGGTGGAAGCTGGACTCACGGATGGAAGGCACGTGCTGAGGACCGCAGTCACCGTGCCATCTCTGGAATGCCCATGCTGGACTGTTGCTTGGGGGAGAAATAAAAACCTATCTCACTTAGTCCCCGTGTCTGAAGGCTCTCTGTTACTGCAGGTTACCTAGTACCACAACGAAGTCAACATTCTATGAGTTCTCAGCAAGAACTGCACACATCACAATGCATATTTCCCTTTCAGATCTCTGCTGTGTGTATAAATGTATATGTGTATATTTTGGCGTTTGTATGTTTTCTGAGTTGTCCTTTAAAATATGTTTCTTATAATAGGTCATAGAGAAAAAGTTTGAAGAACACTAATATGGAAAAAAAATACAAAAGAAAGTCTTATTTCTTGTGCAATGGTAAACAAAGAAAAAAGAAAATTTTATACAATACTTGCTCAAGAACATGTATTATTCAACACATCCTAGATAATTTCTCCTCATTTTATTTTATTCCATTTTTTTTTAATGGAGGTACTGGGGCTTGAACCCAGGACCCATGCATGCTAAGTAAGCACCCTACCACTGAGCTATTACCTCCCCCTTCCCCATTTTAAAATTTGCTTTACTAGCAGGAAAGTACCATCTTTCAAATTTTAACACTTAGAAACAAATCTTTCATACCAAAGTTACTAGAGTGATTATTTTGATATTTACCTACTAAAGTTATCGGAAGTAGTGTGGAGGCTGGAGACATTGTGAGGGAGAAATTATTCCACTTATGTATTATATTAACCTCACAGCATTTTTGGCCACTATGTCTCAGACACTTTTGAAAGACTGAAAGAAAAACTTCTCTGGAATAATAACTAACTCCACAGATACACAAAATCTGGAATATAGTTACAGAGCAGCATACACAACCTTTTAAGCTTCCCAAATTAAGAACATCTGATTTTCATTTCATGAACCAGAAATTTACAGATTTAAATAACTGCAAAATAATCAAGGATAAAACAGTTAAATCCCGTTTGCTATAATTAGTCAGAAATACACAGTACAATCAGGGATACGTTACATTTGCAACAAATGATAACCTCTACAGTTCTAGTTTAATCAGCAATTATAGCTATGCTACCAAACACCTGGGCAATCCTTTCAGGCACCTGTCTGTTAGTGCCTTGTTCCTTAGAGTGCACACATTTTGGGTCACGGGATTGAGACATTTGGCAGGAGGTTCAGCTGATTTGAAAAATTTAGTATCAACTAATAATCTAGGAAATGAAGTATTTTCTGAGATGTCTCTCAACAAATCTTTCTCCATTATATATAAAGGCTGTGGTCAAGCATAACAGATCATCAATCATATTGACACTGAAGTATCTTCTAACGCTAAGATGGGCCATGCTATTTCTGTTTCACTCTCTTCTTTGAAGATATTGAAATGAAATGAGTTAATAACTATCTCTCTGGATGATTTAGAGAGCTCTGACTGGTAAAAATCCAAACTCTTCCCTCCTGCTACTACTGCTTTCTAGTAGTACAGAGATTTATTGGGGTTTTAATTGTACTCTGATGAGCTAAAGAAACTTAAATGAGCTGTCATATTTAAGGAATCAATACACCAAAAATACAACTTTTAAAGAGTAGACTAGTATAAATTCTTTTCATAAATCAAATTCCATTTACTTATTTTCACCAAATTTGAACAAGACTTTTATTCAAAATTCCAAGGTATCATATAAAATAGGAATTAAAATCCACCATTACCTGGACTGTGGCCTTAGGAAGCCATGCAAAAGAAATAAATATCTTTTCCTTTATGTTAAAACCAGCAAAACACACCATCAGATATGTAGTCAGAATTCGTATCAATACTGCAATGCCCAGGGTGGCAACACAAAGGCCTGTAAGAAGTATTCAATTTTTAGACATAATGAAATACTGGGTGAAAAACTGAATGTCATGGCTATTGACTCAAAATTCTTTCAACGGAAATCTAAAAACATTTAAAAGTTAAAGAGACAAAATGGCTAGGCATCATTTATCAAAACATCAATATTAAGGATCAATAGACAATTTGTTTAGAAGAAAGTATTTCCCCTAGTTTTTTTTAAAAGTAAAAGGCAAAAGATCTATTTGATCTGAAGAGAAACTTGAGTATTCCCCTAGATTACAAACAGAAATGAATTTGAATTTCTACAAAGGAGATTTGAGTGTTACTTCTTTTATGCATTATAGCAAGAACCATACTTTCTTTCATGTGCTTACTTAGCACGGATTTGTTAAATGATGACTATGCATGGCAGGATGTGGACTAGGTACCGGTACACAAAAACGCATAATGTACAGACTTTGCCTGTATGAACTTCAAAGACAGGAAGACAGGAACATAAACAACTAATTAATATATTATAAAATAAGGGCAGCATGAACATACTGGTAAGAGGGCATAGAAGAGGAAAAAAATTAATATTTTCATCAAAGTGGTCAAGAATTATTTACAGAGTATAAGATCAGAGGTAATACTCAAAATATTTATGAGCCAGTATGGAGGCAATCAGCCAATCAGAACAGAGCTGGCGGTGCACTGACCCAATCACAATAGACACTGGCAGCCCACACCTGTTTCATCATACTGGTGTGTACAGCGACAGCCTGTTAACCCCAGCTGTCCTCCTATACAGCTACTTAACTCAGTCAGCATTTAGAACACTTTGCTGATAAAGATAAGGGCATCCTGATTCGCAAAATAAGGGATTGTAACTTGGCTGCTGCAGGCCACTGAACCTGAGAACGGCACTGTTGAGGGGACTGGTAAGTAATAGGATGATTTTTAAAAAGGTAACATTTGTTTACACTGTGCCAGGTTCTGCATTAAACTTCAAGTATATTAATTTATTTAATCCTTACAACCTGTGGGGTACTTACTCTCATTTTACAGCTGAAAAAAAAAATGAAGTTCGAAAGGGATAAGTAACTTCCTCAAGTTATTTGGCTGGTACAAGCGACAGACATTGCTGGGGGCTCTACTGTAAATCTGCAGTATGATTTCTTTATGGAAAAGTTTTGTGGTTTTCTGTTGGAGGGTACTTCTCACAGGTTGGTGGATTTTCAAAAGTATTTGCTGCTGAAGTACAAGATGCAAAGGAGATGATACCATTCCTGGGAGGGAACACTGAAGGTTTGGCGAGAAGATGATGAGGAAGTTTTAGACACACTGAGTCTGAAGTTTTGTGGGATTTTACAAGTGGTGATGTCCAATCAGCCATTGGATATATAGATTTAGAGACAAAGGTTTTGGAATTACATAGTTTTTAACCAAAGTCACTGAGTGTAGATGGGCTCAGAGAAGTGATAAAGAGAGAGAAGCATAGAAAGCTCTGCAAAGAACTCTGAGGAGGAGAGGCATTTAAGCCACATACGGTGTAATGGAAGACGCAAAAGGCACTGGGAAATATGAAGTTCCAGAATTCAATGTGAACATGTTTTAAAGTGGTCAGGAGCATCAAATGCTGCTGAAAGGTCAGGTAAAATAAAGACTGCTAAGTATTCAGTTGATTTAGTACTACAGCCTTGGTGAGAGCAGGGCTGGCTGTGTGATGGGGCAGAAGCTAAACTAAAATGGCCTGAGGAAGAGATGAGAGCTGAAGTGGAAAAGGGGAATATAGGTACCCCTTTAGGAAAGATTTGAAAGGAGGAATATAGAGAGTGATAGGTGAGGGGGGAAGTGAAATGGATATATATTTGCTTTAATAGCAGGGAAGTATCATCTTTCAAATATATATATCCTTTATATGTGTGTGTGTGTGCATATTTATTTAAATTTTGATTGTGATAAAACACACAACAAAACTTACCAGCATAACCATTTTTATATGTACACGTCAGTAAGCCTTAAGTTAAACATTCACATTTTTGTGCAACAAATATCCAGAAAGTTTTCATATTGTTAAACTGAAATTCTGTACCCATTAAATAACAAATCCCATTTCTCCCTCCCACAATCCCCTAGCAACCACATTCTACTTTCTGTTTCTATAAATTTGATTACTCTGGTTACCTCACATAAACAGAATCATAGTATTTCCCTTTTTGTGCCCAGCTTCTTTTACTTAGTGTAATGCCCTCCAGGTTCATCCACGTTATAGCATATAACAGAATGGAAGGACATTGTTTAAGATGGGAGAGATTAAAGTTTGTTTAACTTCTGAAGAGGAGAGAGCTGCGACAAGGATATTTGAAGACACATGAGAAAAAGGGCAGAATCTATGCATGAGATCCAGGAGGTGGCAGGGGATGGGATCCCTAGTGTGGATGGAAGAATACTGTGATGTGAGGAAAGGAGAAAACTATGAGTATACGTGTGTAAATTAATTTTTCTGTGTAGTGTTATGAATTAAGAGAGTTTTAACAAGATGGATTTTGAATGGGTGAATGAATAAAAGAATGAATGAACAAATAAACATTTCTGTTCCATGGGTATATATTATAGGACCCACTAGTTACTTTAAAATTCTGGCCCTTGATCAGGATAAGGCCAGATGGACATTCTTATCCTTGAAAAAAAATGTTCAGGCCTGCATTTTCTTGATGCTAGTTAGCAGTGTCACTTTCTTTACAAGGAACAATATTAAAGATATAAAATTTACTGTTTTAGGTTGAAAGACATTATTTTCTCACCAACTACTCTAAGAGACTTAGATCATTATTAACTTTTTATATAATTATGACAATGGGAACTACTGGACATATACCTACTACAGATATTTCAGCTGAATATGAAAAGAGTTGATTTTAGCAAAAGTACTACTTTGGGACATTGTGCTACACACCAGAAATTGACACAATGGAACTGACTATACTTCAATTACAAAAAATTCTTACCTACAGTTTCTGGTCTGAGAGATGTAATGGACACCTCTGCTCCAATCAATCCAAAGAGAAGGGGCTGAAAGATGTACCAGGCTCCTGCTATAATTTTTTCAACATCTGCCTAAAGGAAACACACACACACACAAGAATTTTTACCATATGACTTTGAGAGTTCTAAGAATTTTACTAATTTGAAATTTGAGTCATTTAGACCTGAGATAGCTTTTATCTCTCCATAGTGCCTATAAATAAGATGTTAGCTAGAATAGAGCAAAAAATTGCACAAAAATACTTCTAACACAATTAAGATATTACATGAGGTGTTTTAGTGTTGGTTTGCAAATAAATGTTAATTGAAAAGGGTCTTACAAAGTAACTTTTAGGAGGACTTCTTTTTCTGAATATACAATCTGTGTATGTGTATTATAATAATTAATATTACTATATTTATTATATTACTATATTATTTCATACTTTGAAATTCTATTTTCATTCAACAATGTAAAATTAAAGACCTTATATTAGTGTATGTATCTAGATATGTACCTCATTATTGCTGCAACTGTGGTATAGAAGTATCATGGTTTATACAATCATTTCTTTATTAATAAGTTTTTAAGTTGTTTCCAATTTTATTGTATCTTTGTAACAATTACTGTTTATGGTTATCTCAAATCATGCACAAAAATTAAAGCCAGGTATAACAAAGTGCTGTGCCAGTTATTAATTTATTACTTTTTGGCTCCAAATCCTCCTTTCCTTGTTGCTCTGCAGAAAGTGGGGCTGGGCTCTTTAAATATTTCTCCTTTGCCAGCTGGCACCCTATTCAATTTTGTCACTAGAAGGCACTGAAAGATACTGCAAGAGAAGGCATGCTTCCAGGTTTCTGTGGCTCCTCCCGGCAAGATCCTTCAGCACCAGTCTCCTGCAGTCTAGGTGGTTTCCCAAGTGCCAGGTTCCTACAGTGCAGGGTGGCCAGCAACACCGAGTGGCCAGCAACTTC